GCAAAAGTACATACAATATGAAAAATTTTAAATACATGGTAGATGAAAGGTAGATACATCATGCAATGTCTGGTTATTAATAACAAAAGTAATGATTGCCAGTAATTGCAATGGTAACTTTATTGCCATCTGTGCTCAGGCAATATCAATGCTATATTATTAATGGTCCTTCATTGAATCTGATGCCTTAATGAATCTAAAATCAAGCGTTTATTTGAGACATAATGACAAAATACATTTTACAGTCAGAGACATGGGCATGTGAAAATTACTTACTCAGCAACCATTAACACAATCTTTTAAAGAATACGGCAATGTCCATAGAACAAACTGTTTCTTGATTATGAGATGTTCATTGTACTAAAAGAGAGAGAAACAGATGATAATTTGACTTGTACCAGTTGTAACTCTAGTTGTACAAGTGCATTCAAAAAATTAAATTGATTATGTTAAAACGTGTGCATCCATTATACCATTAACAGAAAAGGCAACTTCTTTATTTAAATCCTGAGATAGAGAATGCGCTTTTACTTTTACTCTTCGATACTCTATTTGCACAAGTAGGACCTTTAAACAAATTAATTCTAAAAAAACAATAATCAATGAACAAATACCATAAGCAGTTTTCACACTTAAAATACAGATCCACCTTTAATCTAGTGCCAGTAACACATTTATAAAAAATTAATGAACAAATAAATCAAGAAATAATGATAACAATAACAGAAGAAGCAATCTATACACTAAGGTCCTTATCAGCATATACACTTTAACTTTTTGTGTAAGAAAAACGCTAAACAAAATGATAACGTTAAAATAGTAATAAATTGATATGAACAAGCATATGCCCCACCATCAGAAATGTCAATAAAAGGATCAAGTGTTGGTATACAACTAACTAAAATTTCTTCAATATCGCCCGTAAATTACTTTCACAGAGAGTATGTTCCCTACCAGCATCAGCATACTGCCGGTAAACCTTGTGTCGGGACACACTGGACGGCAATAGCTTGGCCTTCCCATAATCCCTCACTCTAGGTATCCTCCCAGGTAGTAATATGGTGTAGTCTTCAGCATAGTTCTCCAAAAATGCTACCACATCTTTAATGCCTTCCACAGAAACAGCATGACAAGGAATGCGACCAGTGTTCCCATGAACCCTTCAATAAAAATTTTAATTACTCTCCTTTGGATTATTATTATTTTTACCTAGGTTTTATTCCATTTTGAAGGAAATGCCTCCTCAAGTTCTTGTAAGTACCATTTCTGATACTGTATACGAACAAGAAGAGCTTCTTACATATCTATTCTTAAAAGATAAGAAATAACTTATTGTTATAGATATTTTTTGTTCAATACTTTCTTTCCCCTGTATTCATACTCAGTCCTATTCCTCTGAACTGTTTCACAAGATGTTGAAGACTTTTCTCACTCTCTTAATAATAATAACAATAAAAATAATAATAATAATACTAAATAATAATAATAATAATAATAATGATAATAATAATAATATTCCTTCTCACTCTCATAATAATAATAACAACAACAGTAATAACAATGATAATAATAATAATAATAATGGAACACCAACTATGCTCAGGTATTAGGGTGGATTAGGACTCATCTAACTTTCTCAACTTTGAGAGCCACAATCTTATGTCTTAGGGGCACACGTACCAAATGGAGATCAATGAATATGGCTGACAGTTTCCCCCATAACATTATTATGCACTAAAATGAACAAATTACTATTACATTAATTTTTTTTCCAACACTATTTCTATTCCTAAACTACTTTTGTCCTACTTGGGTTAGTTTATAATAATAATAATAATAATAATAATAATAATAATAATAATAATAATAATAATAATAATAATAATAATAATAATAATAATAATAATATTCCTTTCTCACTCTCATAATAATAATAACAGCAATAATAGTGTTGTTCTAGTTCTTACTTTTCAAATAGTTCTAGTTTTAGTTCTAGTTCTAAGCCTTTAATTTGCTTAGTCTTAGTTGTAGTTCTGGTTCCAAATT